AATAGAGCACTAGAAGGCAAGGAGTGGCATTGGTTCCTATAGCAGGTTCAGATTTAGCACATGATCTGGAGACTGGCTAGATGATGTTCAGATGTAGTTCAGAAGTCAGGTAGCCCAGATTTTTGCAAGAAGATGGACCAAAGATCAGGTGCTGAAGCCCTTTGGAGCAAAAGACACTATTGTTGTAGTATCGATACATTTAGGATATGGTAGTTATCAGACAGCAGAGGTAATGATGCAGAAGGCAAAAATGTGGTCAAATAGTCTGGAGTAAAGTCAGAATTAAATAGTCAGCAAATGTACCAAATCAGCAGAGGGTAAAGGCAGTCAGTGTTAGCTGGGGTCAGTAGCAGTGGGAACAGATCCAAGAGAGGTCATAAAACAAGCAGGTAATTAGCAAGTTAGGGCACAGGTTATAGGAATAGCTGAAGGCCACATAGCATCTTCTCTGGGCGGTGGTGAGCTTTAAATAGGCTCTTTGACATCAAACACCAATGCTCTGTAAGTGGTTGGAATTAGTGAATTAAGTTGTTAACTTGAAAAGGGAATGTACCTCAGGGTCCAGGGCTCCTGACTTTTAGACTACTATTGTCCTGAACCAGGAAGAGGTAAGGGACTGTGCTGGGGCCATATGGTTACTTCTTGAAAACGTATAGTATGTTGTTGATATTTGAGCGTTATTCAGGTAAACAGTGTAGAGAAGTATTTCCCTTGAAATTATAATAATATTCCTAGGACTAATAATATTCAAGTAATACCTTACAAACCTTATAAACAAGTATATGAATTTTCTGTATAATACAATTCTTGCCAAAGCCAGTACATGACAGTAAGTGTTGAGATTTATTTATCCTAACTACTCCTTACAATGATGACAAGAAAACTGCTCTTAACAGCGTTCACCACAGATTTTATTTATGTAGAATTTTTACATCTCCTTATGAGTTGTGTGACACGTATTTCATCAATACACGGTAGAATATCTATTTTGCACACGCTGGAGTGAAAATAGGAGCTTTTTTATGCATATAATTAAATGCAGATATCTCTATGGTGTCATGTCATAAATAAAGAAAATAATTTACAGAATATAAAAAATAGTTTTAGTGTAGGAAAACTGAAAAGATTAACTCAAATACAGTCAGTTAAAACAACTGTAGACAATCATAGCCTTCAGACTATCTTGACTATTTGTCTGCATTACTCTTTGCAGATCCCCTTAACACAAAGGTGTAAATAACCCTTATGTGCAAATTAGGAAAATGTGTCCATTGGGCATAAAATATTGCAGCTCTGTGACCTTACTTGGCCTTGTATGCCTCTGGATGTTACGAGCTGTATAGAGATCCAGGGAATTTCAAGTGAAACAGCCTGTCCTGGTTAGAAGTGTACAGAAGGATAGTGTAGGAAATGTGAAGCATTTTGAAAAATAAATTAGGTTGTTTTTTTTGCAACTGTCGCATTTATCTTTATTTTTTTCACAGCATTATGTCTGCAGATGCAAGCATTCAGAAACTTAAAAAAAAACAAAGGGTAATTAAATCAATACATATTGATGGGGCACAATATTTTTTTTAAAGGCACTGATAATTTTAACTCCTGAAAGATGCTAGCAGTTAACCCATGATCTAGTGAGATGGGCTCAAAGGCACCAGGGTGTAGATTTTATTTATTACAGGTATTTATATAGCGCCAATAATTTCACAGCACTTTACACACTGTACATTCACATCAGTCCCTGCCCTCAAAGAGCTTACAATCTAAGGTTCTTATCTCACATGCATACAGTACTGGGCTGATTCAGACAGGAGCCAATTTCCCTAGCAGCATGTCTTTGGTGCATGGGAGGAAACCAGAGCACCAAGAGAAATCCATGCAAGCACAGGGAGAACATGCAAACTCTTTACAGATAGTGTCCTGGAATTTGAACTATGGGCTCCCACTATGTCACTGTGATCTAATGGCCATTTACTGAAATTGTTTGTGAACCTGTGGATAACCAGGGTATTTCCAACAGGCAAGGTCACAGTTAAGGGGCAAATGAACTCCCAGTCCTAGCAGAAATTCCCAGCTAGTGATTTGACTATACTCAAAGCACATTCCTCTTAACACTATTACACGTACAGAATTCCCCTCACTGCTTAGTCAAAAAATATAGAAAATTAGAGCTTTTGATCCCCAATTAAGTATAATAGTACTGGATAGGAGAAGAGACCCACCAAAGGGCATTGGATGTCACTAGATAAGAGCATTAGGAATATAATATTAAAGTCTATTTTTAATAAGTGTGGTGGCCTTTTTTTAAATTTCTTACCTTCTATTTCTTATGCAAGGTCAATGGGTTAAGGGTCTAAAAGATCCTTAAAATAGGGGACAAGTAGGCGGCACATAAGCCCCTCATTACACCACTCACTGTCAGTGATACCAGCTTGCATGTCATGGTGTCTAGGGCTGGTCATATCATAGAGAAGTGCTAAAGCAAGTAAACTACATTTTCAGCACCATGGAGATCTCTGGACAGCACCTGCACTGTCCTTATGAAGAGCTGCTGATAGCAGATACTGATCACATTCACTATTTCACAAAAATTCAGCTTTTACATTCATTAAGTGTATGCTCCCCACAAATATAGCAAATGTGTAACAAATGTCAGTAAATGCACTACAGAACATTTCTTTTATAAATATACAGAGCGTTGTACATGCACAAACCATTGTTCCAGGACATACAGTAGTCACTCTGGTTAATCTCAGGCATCAAGCAGCATGTCTAATATATTGCATGTTGTAACATATAGCCTGCACGTCTGTTTTCTTTCTTTCTCTCTTCTTTCTTATTTTCTTGTCGTTCTTTTATTTATTTCCGTCGCAAGATAGTAGGAAGCTCACAATGAATATTGTTCATTACAATAGATCAATATGACTAAATAACCACAGTTAGGGGCATATTTATAAAGCAGTGAATGTGACTTGCACCAAACATTCACTGCAGGCGAATCTTCCAGGTGCAAATGTTTCAAGTGACATTGATTGATTCACTATCAGTGAATGTTTGGTGAAAGTCACATTAACTCCCTGATAAATATGTCTTAGCATCCACAGTAATTTGTAATTTTTTCCTGGTGTTCTCAGATCCTACATTAAGACCCTGACATCAATTTAATTCTGACTACCTTGTATAACGGGACACATTTATAACATTTATGTTGGTTGAAAGTCAGGTAACTACATTCGCTTTCAAATGTGTATCATTTGTAACACCAACAGTGAGTTACTGTGTGTTGCAGTAAAGCACATTATCAAATACGTCATGATAAGATTTATAACACCTTATAGTGCGAATGTGCCCTAACACAGTCCTTCAATTGCTAAATTCATGAAACTTAGTTTTATCCATTACAATCCATTATCTTTTATAATGACTTGTACTCTCTCATTAAAATCTAGAGGTAGACGTAAGCCAATGTTTAAAAATGTTGCATCCATATAAAAAGTGAGTCAGTCATGATTCCAAATGATCAAATTTAGTTCCCTTATCTCTAAAAAAAATGTCTCAATGCTAGTACTCTTCCCAAGGTGAAGAAGTGGCTAATCAGCATGTGACCAAACATGGACTATAGGTCTCTCTCAGCTATCAACCAGATACTCCATTTCATTGATCGAGTTAAACATAGAAAAATATATGTGAGAATCTGCTTGTGATGGGTAAAATTAACTGTTCTTCTTTAGAATCTTTGATGCCTTAAGTCCTATGTTCTTTTTGCAAGTGGTGCTTCAGATTCATGTGCAGTAATCAGACAGTGAATTATTTAAAAAGCTAGTGATAACAAGCTCAGTAAAGTAACAAAAATTTGTCAGCAGACATTTTCAAGTATGCTAGAGATTCTCTTTAAATCCATTCAAGAAAATGGACTTTGGAAGGAGAATCATTTGAGTTGGAAGCAGACATCCCAGCCTTTTCTACAATTTAAAAGAATAGACAGTTCCCAGATGTTATTTAGTAGCTGACTACATAAACAATGAATCATTTTCAAACAAAGCAGCTATTATATTCAAGGATGGCGTGCTTGAGTTGCTTAGTTTCACTTTAATTCAGCGTACATTTCCAAAGGAATTTAAACTTTTATAGATCTGTAAAGTTGCTAACTTTAGCACATTTGTGAAACATAGAGTGCTGACTTTTAGATTCTGTAGGTCACAAACCTACAGCTATTCATCACCACAACTACAACTATTTTAAATTATCTATAGGACATTGTTCATCAATGGCAAAATAGAGAATAGAGCCTTGCATGTAAATTGAATTATATGCAAACCAAATACAATTTTTAAAAGTCCTGACCTATGTCTGTTACGTGAGATTCAGAAGTGATCGCATAATGTGATAACACAGAAATAAAGGTTGCACATACAATAACAATGATTTAAAATGTTACTGAATACTCATAGGTGCATTCACCAGTAGTGAATTGAAAATAAGAATAAATAAAAAGATTGGGACTTGTTTTTAACATGGCTAAATACTGGCAATTAGTCTTAAACTATTAGGTTATGAGACATGTATACAATTTTTGGTAAATATAATTGACTATGATGAACCCATGAATAGGGCCAAAACTCATTGGTCTCAACACAATCATGGTAGGGGGCACTAGAGACCACTTCAGGGGAGAAACAATATTTTGCTAGCAAACCTGTATAAGGACGACACCATTAAGATTATATTAGCATTCTGTGTCAGCAAATCGTATATACTGTTCTAGTGATTCTGCAAAGATAATGTCTTGTCTTGTCTTGTAGTGAGTGACTACATAAAAGGTCATGTTGTATAAATTATACATTTGACAGCATTCTTTACTTTAGACTTTTAGCTACCTTAGTAATTCTGACCCATAATTATTTTCATCTCTAGTGTTGAAAATGTTACATACACATAGAACTTTCTGTGTCTCTGTTCATTGCCTTCATTGCTGACCTTTAATCCCTGTTCCTCTTTCCCAGGTCGCTCCATCCCATCTACATCTTCGTCTAGCCTCCTACCATCTGCACAACTGCCCAGCTCCCATAATCCTCCTCCTGTTAGCTGCCAGATGCCGCTGCTAGACAGTAATACTTCTCATCAAATAATGGACACAAACCCTGATGAGGAGTTCTCCCCAAACTCATACCTGCTCAGAGCATGCCCACAACAACCGTCCAACAGTGGTAAGAATCATCTGTGGTGCTTTTAGTCAATATGCAGTTTCTTTTCATCTTTACATCTGACTGAAGACATATCCTTATTTTGTTTTATGTTTTTCATATGTGAAATCTCCTTCTGCTAGTCTAGTTATTCTGCTTGAAAAATATGTCATAAGGGACAAAAAGGTTGCCTCATATTAAGACTAAACACACATGCTACTGTGGTTATAAGTGCCCCTGAATTGCCTTAAATGTGGTGCTCTTACTGAACTGCACCTTGCCACACCTGTCTGTACGGATCAGCAAATAAATGAAAACCCACTCTACTGTTATTTTTCCTACTGCTATCCTTCTTGCAGTATTTAAATCATGCCTTTCCTTTTCTTGCTCCATTTCTATCATACAAAAAAACAGGTGAGCAAGTCAGGCATATGTAATTCTTATACAAGAGGACTGTGCACAGTCCTGTGTCAGTCATTTAGCAATGGAGTAATACTGCAAGAGTTACGCCCAAAGAAATTCCCCAGTGCCCATGAGAACTGGGCTATTCTGTAAAAGGAATGATCTAAAAAGATATTGAATGTAGAGATTTTATATAACACATATATTACTTGAAATTATTCATCAACATACTGTATGTCAATCATTCTGACGTGTCTGCTTTATTGAAACATATTGCTTATGTATGTTATATTTAATCTACCACATTGCATGAGCTAAGGGTGAGATTTCACTTACCTTGTCCTACCAGAATACGAAGACAGTTTTATGAGACATCAATATTATTGACACAATTATTAGCAATCTAAATGGGTCACAAATGTACATTACATTTGAGCACATCTAGTATGTTAAAAATCACATAGTTCATCCCCATGTTCCAGAATACTAAGATTATTCCCTCTACTATAAAACTGTCCATATTTTACAAAAAAAAACAAAAGTAGAACAATGTTGTTTTAAAGAATGAATATGCAGATGTACATGAGCTGATCATGCTATTACAATCAATTGGCATACATCTCAAGTGGAGCCATGAGCATTATCAATAGCTACATTTGCCAACTTCCAATCACTGATATAGGTCTAATTTCTTCACTAATCAACTGTTCATAATTATCAATAAGATTTTGCTAGGTGTTATACCTATTGTATCTAATTTTCGTGATATATGCAGCAAAAATATATCTTGATCATGCTGGCTTGTATATGCTTTCATTATATTTTTTATGCCTTCTCATAAAACTTTTACTTTACTCTGCTTTCAGTTAGTTTCTATGTGAGATGCTAATGTTTGCTGCACTCTATTGTTTTTTTTTGCGGCATCGAGGTTGTGTTCTCTATTCTTCTTCATTTTAAATTATTTGACTGTTTTCTGAAAGTGTTAATTATCATACAAATTGTAGAAATCTGGGATGCGTTAGGGAAGAAAGATGACGAAAATGGGGAAATGAAATGTCTTTCCTAATTGTATGCCATTTGAGTTTCTAGACATATTCAACAAATCACATTTTCTGTAGATCATTTCACTCTGGAGTATTTTCTTCATATTAACTGTGATTTAAAGCATTGAAAACTATTAGTAAATCTCCATTACTGAAAGGAGTTACTTACAAATTTTAAGTAAGCTCAGTGCATCACAGCTGCCTTTTAGAAATTATTTGCCCTAAAGGAATTGTGAGTGGTAGAATTTTGCATCCTCATACAGGAAAGAGTTTTTTGTGTTTTATTTCAGAGTAACATATAAATGGTTAAGACATCACATCACATCACTAGTTGTTGCTCTCGTTGTTGTGTAGAATTAAAATAGCTTTTCACAAGATTATTTAATAGTGTGTAATTTGTGACATTCTCATAATTCTTAACTAATCACAAATTAGAAGTTGTTTGTAATGACTAATCGAGCTAGCTGTCTCATTTTGAAAGCTGCTGGACTGGTATTAGCAACTTTAATAACAATGGAAAAATATAGGTGTAGGGAAACACCTAAATAAACATTTGAAAATTGTGTAATTCTGTTTAGCTATTTTTTTTACCCAGACACATCTGACAGACACCATAGCCATTTTTTTATGATTTACTTGTCTTCACTGCAGTCAAAGCAATACAGTTAAGTCAAGACAGTGATTGGACAGTGAAGGGGCGGGGGCTTACTAATGATGTAATCTCTGTGCTTTATCCTTCAATCAGAAAACTCCATTTAATGAATTCATAGCACTGTGCAGTCCAATAAAGCTTGATTGGCTACAGGGACTACTCTTCCTCTTCCTGTTTGAATGTTTATGTACAGAACAGCTAGTAGAAAGGCAGAATGAGGGACTACTTAAAATATATTTAGGTATTTTCTATTAAGTTTGGACTGCTGCACTTCTAATGCAGCAGCTACTATGTACTATTTCAGCTCTTAAGAAGGGGGATCCTATAACCCCCAACATGTGTTGGCTACCAACTTTTAATAAATACAATTGCTTAGACTTGACTGACTCAGTATAATTCTTTAACATTTTAAATGATAGAAAAGCTGTAAGTTGCATTCAGCTGAACTTGTTCTGTAATGCTGAAGATGTTTCACCACTCATCCAAGTGGCGTCTCAGGTTCAAATTAGTGCCAGATGCATACTCTAGCATTCATAGCCACATGAGCAACTCAATCACCCTAATCCATATATTATGGTGTCATGAAATGTGTCAAGGCAGATGCCGATTGTCCAAGAATATGATGTGAGGTGGGAAATTTTGTGAAAACACCCTGTTCTAATTTGTTTAATCAAATCACTGTAAGGCCAAGACTTTTGGGGCAAGTGTTTTTGTTGCGTTACATGGTTCAATGTGGGAATTGTAATCAAATCTCAGAGTAAAATTGGCATTAAGTTTGAATGACAGGTAGTGTTGAAGATCCTTGCCTATGCTTAGGGATGGTTGTTGACTTGGATGACCTTGGGAATGTGTATTGGTACTCAGTGAAAAATTAATTTTTACATTGGTGGTCAGTGTACTGGATTGCCTTGGGAATAGAGATTGGTGGTTAGTTTAGAGTCCCTTTAGATTTGTGGTTGAAAGACCCCCTTCAAACTGATGGTTAATGAGAGAAGAACCACCTCATGCTGGTGGCTAGAGGAAATAATGCTCTGTTGTATTGGTGGTCAATGGGAATAATGCTCATTGCATTGGTGGTCAGGGTAGTTCCTTCTTATACTGATAGTCACTGACCCTGTGGCACTGGCTCAGATAAGTGACATTGGTGCAAGGACTAGGCATGAACCAGCTGGTAGGATACTGTTCAGTGTTCAGCAAACCCCTAGCAATCTCTGAAGAAACCCTAGGGTTCTAAATAACTCTCATGGAGCAAGACTGCTCTAAACCTCTGTTACTGGGACAGAAGGTGATGGTAAATCCAAACTATTATGCTTGTCAACAGAACTGGAGGAGAGGGGAAATCGTCTAATGGGGACACCTTTTTCCAGAAGATGAAGGAAAATCTCCCCAGGCAGAAAAAACAGGGGTTCTAATTATTTTCTACTCTCAGTCAAAGTGTTGGCTAGAATATACTTTAAGGCTAGATGTATACCTTAACCTCCCTGGCGGTATGATTTTTTCTTTTTTTCGTGTCATTTTTCGTTCTATTTTTTTTCAAATTTGTTTCGTTTTTGTTGTTTTGAATATCCCGCCTGTTCCACCCCCTGCGACACGTACGCTCACAAGGGACGGATCCCAGAAGACGGATGCCGGCATCGGCCAGAGAACATAGCGTGGCTCGAGGGACAAGGTAAGTAAATGCTATGTGGCATTCCCGAGTGTAGCTCGGGGTTACCGCTTATGGTATGGAAAAGTAACCCCGAGCTACACTCGGGAATACCGCCAGGGAGGTTAAAGCACACTTTTTCTAATGCTAGTGTGTAGTGATGGGCCTAATAGGCCCAAGTTCAGTTAGAATTTGAACTTTAGAACATCCAAAAAGTTTGAATTCAAACACAAACTCAATGCAAGTCAATGGGGGGGAGGGTAGAACTTTCAAAAACAATTATCCCCTTTAAGAGGGCTTAAATGCACCTTGTGCGGGGTGCGCGGCTAGCGAATAGCCAGCCAAACACCCTGACAGTTCGTGTGTTCGCCGAACACACAAACTGCTGATGTTTGAGTCAAACTCACGTTCGGCTCCAACATCGAGCCAAACCCTAATAGTGTGTACACAGCTTCATTTCTATATTTTAAATACCCACTGTTATGCTGTATTCTGCAAAAAAACCACATGCATTTACTGCTCACTTTGATGTTCCTAATGCTTATTTTGATACAGCAATGTACCTTTTTAATGTGATGCATTTTTGTGTTAAGTACATTTTGCATGCATTTTAACACACTTATCAGCTCATCCAGACATCCTTTAAAATGTGAAACTGTGAATCCAGTATTAGAGCTGTAGACTCCATGAGCCTGTAGCACCCCAAACACTTAACAACTCTCCTGAATAACAGGCAGATGCTTTGACTTGGTTGATGGAAAAGCTCACACGCACAACATCCATACAGGACTCAAGGGGCATGTGAGTTATTGGGCTCTTGGCTAAGGAACACACTTGACTCATATACTGTGCACTTCTTCATTGTATTTACTACTCTACTGCAGGGGTAGGCTGGTGTTTGCTTATCCATGGTCTACCACATAGTATTGTATATAACCTGCTTAAACTAAGAAGTATCTCTGAAGATGACACATGATCAAAACATGAGGTTGAACGAAATGCAGTTTAATCTTAGACTATGGAAGGGGTTTTTACCATAAGAACAGTAAAAATATGGAATTACCTTCCACAGTTAGTGGTAGCGGCTGCAATACTTAATGACTTCACAAACACACACACACACACATAGGTTGAACTGGATGGACCTGTGTCTTTATTCCACCTTACCAAATATATAACTGAATGTATACCCATTGTCAACTGTCACCTCTGAGACTCAGCAGACAGTAGACTGAATTCATTTTTATAGACTCATCTGTTTTCAAACAGAAACGCTTTTCTA